ATGAGCAATACCTCCTCCTTGCCTGATGGTCATTTGAGATGTTACAATCATGTTTTCAGTCAGCTTTCTTTAACTGTCATTTAGGCTGCTAAGATTCTATTCCTCTTAAAGAAATATATCCCACATTAGAAATTGGGAGCAGCGGTGGAGTACCCTTTGCTTCTGCAGTTGTTGGGTTTTTTTAAAAGAAGCTCTTCCCAGCCTGAATATGCAATTTGTGATTCCTCCTCCCCCACTTTTTTCTTCACAAGAGGAAGAAAAGGATGCAAGTATTGGCCCTCCTCATGAGACTTGCAGTCAAGCTGAACTTAAGTCACAGTGGAGACTCAACTTGGATGTGACTTGGGTTTCTTTTTCAATGGCTCCGACTTGACTTGGGACTCAGAACCCACCCACCCCTTGCTTTTATCTGGGGGAAAAAAAGCTTCTTATTAAGAGGGGCTCAGACTTGGGGCTTAGCTACTCAGGACTAGGTGCCAGACTCGAACTCGAGACCCACACCCAAAGACTTGCCAACATCCCGGACAAGAAAAAACGGTGATACTAGGTAAGTTTCAAAGGCTTCCAGTTTAGATTTTTCCCCCTGAGCCACAATTAGTTATCTATACAGAGTCTATTAGCCAAGTAGAACTCTAAGAATGAAGTATGTTCAGTCTAAATAGTATTCAAAAACATCCCTCCCCTAATGAGAACCTCAATGTGGTGCCATGAGCTTAGTTGAGTACATGGAGATTCAAAGACAGACTTTTAAGAATTAAACATAGGAGGTTCCTTGCCAAAAATAAAGGGGAAATAATCTGTCAGTTTTGCTTCCTTTCCTATTCAAACTATTTTTTTTTTAAAAAATTCTGGTTCTATCTGTTGAATTTATGAAAACCTTTGTGGAACTCGACAGCGGTTGTCAATGAAAACGAACTGAATTCTCACCCATTCCTACCTGAAAGCAGAGGATTTAAAAATAATCACCACACATCCATATTTCATTTACTTTAATGCTGATGTTTATTTAGTGTGAGAACAGCCAAGGAAACTCCATCTGGAAGACTCATCCGCTTTGAGAAGGAGAAGTATACAGACAAAACACCAGTATAATTGAAACGTCGTGTGGATGCAGTTCCTTGTAGGTGTCTTTTACAAAAGGACTTGTAGCAGCAGAAGCCCGGAGAAGGAAGGCAAGAGGGAGATGGTGATTCGACACCCCCGTGAAACATCTGGCGAACATTTTGCACTTATGACAGTATTAGCACGTCCAAAAAATGGGGATTTACCATGAAGTAATGACTTACAGACAGACTTTGTCGTGCATCCCTTTATGATGCTGTCCACATGGAATTCATCTAGACAGAAGGCAAGATGGGTGGTCAAAAGAGGTACTTCCATTGCCTGGAAATGCTCCTCAAACAGCTGCATCTAAGGGTGGAGTCTCAATGGCAATTTGAATCAACCAATGTTTTAAAAGTCAAATTTAAGTCACATAGTATATAAAACGGTAGCAGCGTTCACTTTGACTTAAATTAATTTGATTCATTTCTGCTAGGTTTTAGTAGCTACACCACTGAAATCCAGTCGTTTTCTTTCCATTTTAGGAACCCACTACTCGTTCCCCCTCCCCCCCCATAAAAAATAAATAAGCCGGAGCTGGTAAACCACTTCTGAGAAATTTATACCTAGGAAACCCTAAAAGAGTTGTAATTGATTTAACAGCCTGTGTTGTTGTTGTTTTTCCAAAACTCCAGGCACAATCAAAATTATACTGTATTTAAAAAGTGTTGATATTATATAACAGATGCAAGTTTTAACCAAAAACCTAAGTATCTGTTAAATATCAGCACAAAATCATGTTGGCAAAGTGCATACATGCCTGATGTTTAAAATGCATTGAGGCATTTGCCTCCTGGGGGAAAAAAGCACATTTAAACTGTATGTGCAAAGAATCCACATGTTTGGGGGGGGGGTTACATAAAATCCAACAGTTCTTAATGGAAAGATGCTTATGAGGAGAAGCTTGCATTAAAGAAATGGATCTAATTATTATTTTTTAAATGCACAGTTACACAGATACATGAATTTCTACGCAGAATGCAAGCGTTGCTATCTGATCCAAGATTCTGTGAAAGAGCATGGCAGTGAAAAACGAGACTTTTGTAAGACTTAAACTGACAGATCTGCCAATATTTCTACCACTACCACCAAAAAGTAAGGGACTCATTGCATCTTATTTGAGAGACCTACTAGTATAGATACGGGACAAGACACCAAAGCAGTATGTGTCCGAGCCTGTACAATTCACCATCTCTGAACTGCAGATTTGTGTCCATGAGTAACATGCAGGGCATTGCAGTCCATTGGGTCTCACCTGCTCGGGTGGTACTGAAAGCAAGAAAACAAGGAGAAAAATACTTGAAAGGTAGCCATACAGAGGAAGAGCAGGATCTGTTCTCAATCATCCCAGAATTCAGGAAATATAATAATGGGCTCGAACTACAGGAAGCCAGATTTAGATTTATAATCAGGAAAAAACCTCTTGTTAGAGCAGTATGACAATGGAACCAAAGACCTTGGGAAGGTGGTGAGCGGAACCAAAGACCTTGGGAGGTGGTGAGCAGTGCTTCAACAGTGGAGGTCTTCAAGAGAAAATTGGACAACCCTCTATCAGATCTGCTTTGATTTGGATTCCTGCCTTGAGCCAGAGGGTTAGACTCAATGGCCTTATAGGCTCATTGCAACTCCATTATTCTATGATTCTACAAGAAGCTTCTGTTAACTTAGAAACTGAAGGAAAAATGGTATACAGTATCTAAAGCAGGAAGAGAGAACCTTCTTGGGTGAAGAGCCAATTCTAATTCAAGGGAAAACTATCAATGGCTTCAGTTCAGTGGTTCATGCTGGTTGATATGCAGGGCTCTACGGGCAATGCACGTTCCTTCTCCCGCTTCTCCAGCTTGCTCCTCCACTCACCAGCCAGTGCACACATCTTTCATCCCCTTCTTTGGCTGTTCGACCAATCTCCAGCAGGATCATGGGCTTCCCTGCCCCAACATGATAGCCAAACCCCATTCACACACATGCATGCCTCAAGTCACAAACGAAGCACCCCTCTGGCTTTTACAGTTCTTCATTGACATTGAAGGCAAGCTTATTTGCATCAAGGAAGGGCAACTGGAAGGGCAACCCCAGTACAGTGGTGCCCTGCTAGACAATGATAATCTGTTCCATTGAAATCGCTGTTTAGCGAAATCATTGTCTAGCGAAAAGCATTTCCCCATTGGAATGCATTGAAACCTGTTTAATGCGTTCCAATGGGGAAGAATCGTCATTGTCTAGCGAAGATCGGCCATAGGAAAGCCGCTTTGCGAACCGCCGATCAGCTGTTTAAATCACTGTCTTGTGAAGCTTAGGTCCCGAAAACACCTGTTTGCGAGCACGGAGGGAGCTGTCAAAATCGTCGCCTAGCGAAAATCAGTTTGCGAAGCAGGGACCAAATATTGTCCAGCGAAATTCCCCCATAGGAATCACTGTTTTGCGAATTGCTATAGTCATCACAAAAAGTCAATATCTAGCATAAAAAAACTGTCATGCGGGGTAACCGTCTAGCGAGGCACCATTGTATCTGGGACAGAAGAACCAGCTTTCCTGTCTCTACACCTGACTTCTGTTGAAAGGGTCCTGCCAGCTGCAGTTTGACATTCCAAAGTCCTCATCATCTGAAAGAGCCTCCTTCACTTTTAAAAGCAACCCACCAGTGATAGGAGATAAGGTGAGGGGGACGTGGATGGGATGGGTGGAGTTCTCCCAGGGGCTATCTCAAATACATGGGCAAAATTAGACCTACAGGGCTCCCTGCAGCGGCTCCCAGATGTTCTTGGACTACAACTCCCAGAAATCCTGGACAGCACAGCCAATGGCAAAGGCGTCTGGGAGTTATAGTCCAAGAACATCTCAGGACCTAAGGATAGGAACCACTGCATTAGAGGTTCCCATATCTGAACTAACCTATTGCAAAATATATTTAACTTTTATTAAGTTATCATTTTAGTTGTTTCCCATATGTGAACTAACCTATTGCAAAATATATTTAACTTTTATTAAGTTATCATTTTAGTCATTTTCTTCACAAATAATGCATAAGCCAGAATCCTGCCTATTGATGGTGTCCAGTGTTCATCTGCTGGGACTCTTAATCATAATAAAAATCTAGGGAGGCAGAACTAGTTTATGTTTTTGCTAGGATTCTGAATCAAGGACAGGCACAGGGAACATTTTTGAATTTGTTTCCCTATCTGTAACCACAGGCTATGCTCCAACCAGTGTAGCCAGTGGTTACAAATAAGCTAGACATGGACAGGAATTTTGCCACCTCTCTTCATATTCCCTTTTCCCCAAACTGGAAGGCGGCACGTGTTCCTCCCCACCACACCTTGTTTCCCTATCTGTAACCACAGGCTATGTTCCAACCAGTCTAGCCGGTGGTTACAAATAAGCTAGACATGGAGAGGAATTTTGCCACCTCTCTTCATATCCCCTTTTCCCCCAAACTGGAAGGCGACACGTGTTCCTCCCCACCACACTCTATGTTTCCTACAACCCCTTTAGAACTCGGTGCTTCCAAAACCCCAGCGAAGAAGGACGTTGATCACAAGGGGTGAACAAAATGAAATGGAGAAAAAGATTGGGGCGGAAAGTGGACAAGAAACAATATATACCTACATTCAGGGGAGATGTTTCCACAGGCATCTCCAGTGCAACAATACAGATGTGCCCTGTAGGATTTTCCCTGCCCCAAATACAAGTCAACCGGGGAAGAGGCGCAGATCTCTGAGTTTTCGCAGCCTTTCTCCGTGGTGAGAATTCTCTGTCCATCTACAGTGGAAGAGAAAGACAGAAAAAAAAATCATTTGTTCAATGAGTAGCAAATAAAGTTGGCAGGTCTTGGTGCACAGGATGAAGCCCCACAGAATCGCCATATTCTCCTGGTATCCAAAGCCAGGAGACAAAGCTCTCTGTGTGTAGCAAACAAGCTTGATTTTTTTTTTACACACAGTGGCTTTAAAGTCACAGCAACCTTCTTTTCTCATTGCAGTACATAGTTAAGAGTGCCTGTTTATTCTAACATGTTCTCTTGCCTCAGTCTCCATTTGGCCAAAGAAGCTTGCTTTCATTTCATAATTGGGTGGTGGTACTGCCATATTTGCACATCTGATGTCTCGGGCAGTTCTGGGAAAGATTTGCCAGCCTTGAGATATCATATTGAAAGAGGCTATAACACACTTTTGCTGTAAGGCATGACTCAATAACTCTCAGTTGACTCTCTGGCTCGCTGGCTAGCATCTAAGCATTTTTATGTGTGTTATGTTTGCTTCCCTCCCTAACTTTGCCTACCCTACTTCTGTGACATCACAAGGACCTGCCCCTATCCAGGTTTTGGCCTGAAACCTCATGGAACAGGATGCTGTCATCATGGCAACCCACGAACAAAACATTTGCCATCAATGCAACAAATGTTTTGCCCAATAAAACTGATTAGTCTTCATGGTGCCAAAGGTTCACCATTGATTCTATGCATGGGACCACTCTCACCAATGGCTGAGTCTCATACAGAGATCTGGGTTCTTAGCTCTTAAAGATCTGTATTCAAATTTGACCATGTTATTCAGCCATGTTTGTGGGGGTGAATTAGGGTCACATTTCTGTCTCACCATCTTTATCAACCCCGTGGCAGGCAGGGACAAAATGATATTTGCCATTCTATGTGAAGAAGCAATACCTCTTCAGTTTGAATTGAATATAGTTCAGAATTTGTTCCTCTGTTTTTTATCACTTAAAAAAAATCTCTGGATTTTTTCATATTTGGTAAAAAAAAAAGAACTGGACAAGAAGTGGACAAAACCAACAGAATATCCCAGGCAGAAACATATCCTTTGTCTAAAGTTTACAATCCCTCCTTGCCACCTTCTCTATCCATCAACCCACCAAGAGTACTTTCTGAAAATGCAACAGTGCAGATATCTTGTCCAGAAGGGCATGTCTGCATATTCCCAGTGCAGCTGTTGCCAACGGAATAACAGACTTCACACTGTATGGAAGCACCTGGAATAAGGAAGAAAAGAAAAGAGGTGTCATAGCTATTAGAAATTTTGCACCCTGTTTAAGAACAGAGAAATGGGGCAGGGATATTCTTTGCATTTCTTTGAAGTTCTTAAACTATTTCTCAGAGATGGGGAGGTCATCATTTGTAGTCTGTGTGTGTGTGTGTGTTTGTGGGGGGGGGAGAGGAAGGGAGATTGAGAGGGAGGGAGGGAGAGATCTGACTTCTGGCAATCCACCGTCAAGGTTTTCCAGTAAAGAGTACTCAGAAGTGGTTTGCCATTCCCTTCTTTTGGGGCCACCTTGGGACTGTGCAGCTTGCCCAAGGCCACCCAGGCTGGCTCTACACAGCAGAGGAATCAAGCTCCTGACCTCTGCCTCCCCAGCCAGAGAGCTAAACCACTGGGCTATCCAGCAAGACCCACAGAACCAATGGATTTTCCAAAGAACAGTATAATGTGGCAAACTATCCCTGCTCTAATGCAAAATTGCTTGAAGCTTTGATTGATTTGGATTTTGGATGGGCAATTAAGAGACACTAGCTTTACCAAAGACTTATTCCTGGTGGAAAGAAAAACAGCAAGAGCACATGAATCAGTTCAGATGCCTGCATGTGCACCTGCCGTTCCCAACTTACAACTCTGCCATGAGAGGAGACATGTTTACTTCTAACTTGGTAGTAAAGTGGGCACATCCTTTGTCTTGCTAATCAAGGGACACCAGATGGACCTGGGCACCTCGATCTCAATGGGTTAAAGTACCATCTCCCCCTTACCTATTGTTGGGAGCAGGAAGGACAGGAAGAGTCTCAGGAGAGCCTGCATGGTGATTGGAGTCCTCTAGAATCTCTCTCCAAAAATAACTTTGATTCAAAGGGGCTATAAAGATATCTAGAAGAGGCATGCATACCAAATAGTGATATCCCACAAAGAACATTCAATAAGTCAAATGACACAAAATCATTTTGGGGATGAAACAGCAGCTTCTAGCCTACAAACAGCTCCTGAAGGATGTGTCCAGAGCTGTAGGATGAACAGCAAGAGCAGGCTTAGTGCGAGGAAGACTAAGGGAATGTGTGTTGTGGGAGGAAACAATACCAATAATTGCCAGCTTCAGCTGTACTTTCACAGAGACTTTGATGTGTCGAAGAGAATTTTCCGCCAATGAATAGTCCGAATCACACTCGTTCTGCAAGACACTTGCAGAGTCGTTGACCAAGAGGCTACATGCTCGTTACTCAGTAGCCATCTGTATTATTTACCCTTCAACTAACCAAGGTTGTTTACAGAAACAATTCTGGCCACAACGTGATTGTGGGTTGGGGAGAGAAGCACCTGTTGGGCTCGCCGGATGATGGTTAAAGGAGCAGGAATGGGGCACAGCGGCTTCTGGGTTCCTACCCTAGTAGATTCTTCCTGCAGAGCTTGGAAAAGTTACTCTTTTGGAGTACAGCACCCAGAATCTTTGAGGAAACTGGAGTATAGTACAAAAATCTAATGCCTCCATACTTTGAGAATAGGTCATTACCGGAAATACCTCTTCTTAACCCTAAGACATTTATATTGTTACGAATTCATGCTGGACATACCTCCAGGAACTGCTTCTAAGATTCCCTTTCAATCAAAAGATTCTTGCATTATCCAAACAGAGGGGAGTTTCTCTTGATACATAATCAAAGTTTTGGAAGAACTAAAACTTGACTAGGATTTTACAATGACAATTATCAATCCAGAAGCTTTCACAGTCCCTCCCTCCCTCCCTCTATCTATCAATCTATCAATCTATCAATCTATCAATCTA